GGCGACAATTCTTCTCGTCTTGTGTTATTCTCTTTTTCCCCTACATCATCCCTCTCTCTCGTTTTTCAATTCCTCCTTTATTTTTTTAATTTTTTTTTCTTTTTGGTCTTGCAAGAGTAATTATGTCTAATTTGAATGAATAGTATCAAAATCAATATTGGGGTTATATTTGTAAATTCCAATCTTGCTCTTAGTAAATTTATTTATATTTTGGTCTTGCATCAAGTAAGGTCTTGCACTTAGTAAGTTTAGTCTTGCAAATATTCGTTGCCATTTAAAATTTCTATTTACACTTGTAGTTTTTTCACCATTTAATATCGTATATATCAAATTAAATTATGTTATTTTCTAATACCATATCTAGTGTACAAGAAATAATTTTAATGCAAAAGACATTAACGATTTGATCTGCATTTATTAATTAATTGAAATATTTTTTGAGTATCGTATTCAACCGTGAAAATATTAACTTGTCTTTTTTTTTTTCCCCTTAATTTATTAGGTGACTATGGCTGAGCTTGAGAGTAATACAATTTTGTCACAAGCAGAAGCTTCCCCAGCTACTTCAATTAGGAAAAAAACGGGCGCGGCATGGAATTATGTTTCCGAGGGAATAAGTGCAGAAGGAAAAAAAGTGCTGATTTGTTTGTTCTGCAACAAAAAAAAATAAGGGTGGAGGTATTAACAGAATGAAACAACATCTTGCCGGAACTACAAGAAATACTTTTTCTTGAAATAAGGCTGACCCAGAAGTGCGGCTCGAAATAAAAAGGTCATTGGATTCTAATGCAAAGAAAAGTAAGGAGAAGAAATGAGTGTTTGATGACTCATCAAGTGAAGGTGATGACATTCCTACACAAAACGTACCGTCAAAGGGGAAGAGAAAAGCCTCTAATGGGATTGAAGCATTTTGTCAGAAAGATCTTAAGGTAACTCATTCTTCCTAACCTTCTATTAGAGCATGCATGCAAAGTAAGGAAAGATGGAAAGAGACTGACTTGGCCATTGCGTTATGGTTTTATGATGCATGTATCCCATTTAATGCTTGCAATCCACCTTACTTTCAAGGTGCCATTGATAAAATAGCTAACATGGGTCTTGGTTATAAACATCTTTCTTTTCATGCTTTGCGGGTTAACTTACTGAGTGATGCTAAAATGCATGTTAAGTTGATCATAGATTCTATGAGAAGAACTTGGGAGGACACAGGTTGCACTATAATGGCAGATGGATGGACAGACATTAGACAGAGGTCTTTGATTAACTTTTTAGTTATTGTCCAAAAGGAATTTCATTTGTCAAATCTATTGATGCTTCTGATATTTGTTCAACTGCTGAAGAATTATGTAAGTTGTTTTGTGACATTGTGGAATGGGTTGGTCCACGTAATGTTGTACACATGGTAACAGACAATGGAGCTAATTATAAAGCTGTGGGTGGTAAGCTTGCAGAGAAATATCCTTTTATTTTTTGGTCGCCATGCGCAACTCACTGTGTGAATTTGATATTTAAAGTGTTGGAGAGCTGGAAACCGTCCAAAGTTTGGCTATTCTTGCTTCAAAGGTGACTGTCTTTGTCTACGATCACAAGGTGACATTGAATTGGCTAAGAAAGAGAAAAGAATGGCGAGAAATTATCCGTCCTGGTGCGACCCGTTTTGCTACTACCTTTATCGCTTTACAAAGCTTACAAGCGCATAAGGATGATTTGCAGGGTTTGGTCCTTAGCGCTGAGTTTAAGAAATATTCGAAAGTGCAAAGAGCTAAAGAAGTAAAACAAATTGTATTGGATGAGAAATTTTGGGATAATTGTTTGATGATCATGAAGATTATGACACCGTTGATACGCTTGTTACGGTTGTGCTTGTTACGGTTGTGCGATACTGATGAGAAACCATCCCTGGCTTATATATATGAGGGCATGCACAGGGCACGTTTGGGGATTATGAATATTTTTAAAAATAAGAAAAGACTCTACACGCCCTACACTGATATTATAGACAGGAGATGGGATCTTATGTTGACAAAAGATCTTCATGCAACAGCATATTATTTGAACCCTGCTTTTCAATACGATCAATCTTCTTACTGCAAAAAGCCTGAGATTATGTGGGGAGTGCTAAATGTGTTGGATAAGGTGGAAGGCGAGGAGGGCCTAGCAATACTAGATGAGTTAAGAATTTTTCGAGAGCGTGAGAAGGGCTTTTCTCGTCCAAAGGCAATTGCTTGTTGTAAATCCACTAGACCAGGTAAATATTAATTTATGATCCTATGTTTTTTACCTTTTATGTTTAAAGTTTTACAATTATTGCATTCGTACTTGTTTTAATTTATATATATACTAATTTTGATAATTGATATCAGATGAATGGTGGAGATTATTTGGTTTTGATGTGCCAAATTTGCAAAAATTGGCTATAAAAATCCTTGGTCAAACTGCTTCCTCTTCTGGTTGCGAACGTAATTGGAATGTATTTGAGCGTATCCACACAAAGAAAAGAAATAGGCTTGAGCATCAAAGATTGAATGATCTGAAATAGTTTAAAATTATATTTGAATGATGATGATGATGGTGATCTGAAATAGTTATATTTCTAATGTTATTTAGTTTTGATGATGATGATCTGAAATAGTTTAAAATTATATTTGAATTAGTTATTTAAAACAATAGTGTTCATAATTTATTGGCTTGAAGCGAATTTTTATGTATGCATGTAGATATTGGAGAGCATGACTTGGAGGAATATCAAATAGAAGATGGAGATGGAAATCGAGATAGAGATGGAGATGGAGATGAGGGCGAGGATGACCTTGATGAGTGAGGGTGATTATTATGAGATGATTTTATTTTATTTTAAAATTTATGTTCAATAAATGTTCTTGGATGTTTTTGACTTTGTTCTTTTAAGTAAATGGACTAGTTTATATGTTTTAGTTTTATATTTTAAAATTTTTTTTTTTTTTGAATAAAATAGATTATATTAGGCAACATAAGCCAACTGAAGGGGGAGGGAGCTACCCTCAGACATAGCGAGATTCATGGATGAAGCCAATCCATGTGCTAGCTTATTACAGATACGTGGAACAAATAAGAATTGGCAAGAAACAAAAGACAATGCCAGAGAACGAATATCATCTGAGAAAGCACCAAACGAACATAAGGAAGATTCATCTTCATTAAGAGCCATAATGAGTTGGCGGCAATCACCCTCAATGATTATTGTCTGCCAGCCCTTTGAACGGGCAGTCTGGATTGCTGCGAGGGCGGCATGAGCTTCTCCTTCGACTGCTTGAACATTACCGGGGATTGTGGAGACCCTCCACCAGATTGTAGTGCCCTCGGAGTTACGGGCCACCATCGAGATTCTATAATACGCCTGGCCTGGTGGAATTGCGGCATCAAAGTTAATCTTCACGATTCCACTTGGCGGCGGGGTCCACTTCACCTGCGTAGCTGGGTTTTTGGTAATAGTCTGCTCGAAGCATGCTGCACGGAATATGTGAAGGTAGTCCTCGCTCCAACTCCTCAACTCGCTCCCTCGCTGGCCCGCCTCCCCATGAGCTTCCCGGTTTCTCGAGTCCCACGCTTTCCAGCAGATGACCATAGCAAGGCAGAATAACTCTCGAGATAGTTTTTTTCGAAGCCCATCGACCCAACTTCGAAAGGAGATTGGTTCTATCGTAGGATCTAGATGAAAAGGATGACTTTGCCAGACATCGGGCAGCCCTCTACACCCAATCAAAGCGTGTGTGGTTGTTTCTGTAGTGGTTCCACACAACGCACAAAACGGGTTCATTGTAATATGCCTGCGGAATAGAGCGACTTTGGTCGGAATAATATCCCAGACCGCCCTCCACACAAATATTTTGACTTTTGGTGGAATACTCGAATGCCAAAGGTATTTCCACAGGTCCTTAGCTTCGTTATTCGACGACGTTCCAAGAGGATGAATTTCGGTTGATGTACAGCGGCGAGTCATAATGTTGTGGTAGCACGACTTCACTGTGAACTTGCCGGAGCGGGAATAGTGCCACACAAGCCGATCCTTGGCCAAACTACTACCGATCGGGATAGCTAGGATTCTAGAGTGGTCTACAGGCCAAAAGGTGTCGTAAATCAGTTCCAGGTTCCACGTTCGCGAGTCAGTCCAAATAAGATCCGATACCTTATCTGGGAAAGCCGAGGAGAATGGGCGGCGGGTGATAATATGAAAATTACCGTCATCATTTAACCACGGGTCACCCCAAATGGACGAGTCGACTCCATTACCAATGCGGACCCGACAGCCCTCTTGAACGTGCGGGCGGGCGAACGTCAGGCTACGCCACGTAGCTGACGGTCGGTGACCGAGTGGCGCCGACCAGAAATTGCCGGCTGGGAAATATCTTGCTCGGAGAAGTTTAGAGAGAAGAAGATCAGGACGCGTAAGCACTCTCCAAGCTTGCTTCGCGAGCATTGCAAGATTAAATGATCGGAGATGTCTGAATCCCATTCCACCTCTTTCCTTTGGTTCGCAGAGTTTATTCCATGAAGTCCAAGCCATTGATCTAGGCTTCCCGTTGCTCCACCAAAAACGTTGTATCGCTGATTCAATATCCTGGATCAGACCAAGAGGGAGACTAAAGCAGCTCATAAGGTAAGACGGGATCGCTTGGAGAACGGCTTTAATAAGTATTTCTTTGCCTCCTTTCGAGAGTTGCTTTTCGCCCCAGCCATCGATTCGCGCCCAAACACGGTCGCGTAGAAATTCAAAAATGGCCCGCTTCGATTTCCCCAATGTTAACGGCATTCCGAGATATTTTTCATGGCGTTCCACTATCGCAAACCCCAAAATGGTCTGAATCGCGTTCTTTGTGCCGTGTGGCGTCGTAGGGCAGAAACTCATAGTCGACTTCTCGAGGTTAACCACTTGTCCCGATGCAGCTGCATAATCTTGGAGAATTCGATGGAGAGTGTGGGCATTGTCCGGTGTGGCCTTACAGAACACTAGAGTATCGTCGGCGAAGCATAGGCATGAGACGCTTGGCGCCATTGGAGCAATAACAATTCCGTGGAGTGAGCTTGACTCCTCGGCCTGGTGAATCATCGCAACGAGGGCTTCCGTGCATAAAATAAACAAGTAGGGGGAAAGTGGGTCTCCCTGCCTAAGCCCTCGAGACGGCTGCAACGAACCGAACTGGCAGCCATTAAAGAGAAAGGCATAAGAAACTGAAGAAACACATAACATAATAAGATCAACTAAAGATGTGGGGAAACCGAAGCGACAAAGAATTTTTCGTAAGAAAGACCATTCGATCCGATCGTACGCTTTACTGATATCCAATTTAGCCGTCATATAATGTGTTTTCTTTCTAGAATTAGTTTTAATAAAGTGATTCACTTCATAAGCTACAAGGACATTATCGGTAATGAGACGATTGGGTACAAAAGCTGATTGGGTGGGAGATATGATATTCTGGAGAAAGGGTTTTATACGGTTAGCAATAGTTTTCGACCCAAACTTGTAAATGACGTTACACAGGCTAATTGGCCGATATTCGCTGATCTTTTCTGGATTTTTCACCTTAGGAATAAGGACAATGAAAGTGAAATTCATTTTGCTCGGCAATTTTTTGTGATTGAGAAAATCAAGCACACAGTTAAGCACATTAGACCCAAGAACACTCCAATACTTAGTAAAGAATAAGACAGGAAAACCATCCGGGCCCGGGGCATTAGAGGGAGACATTTGGGATATTGCTCGGGTTACCTCGTCCGCAGTGAAGGGTAGAGAGAGTAACTGGTGGGCCGCGTGAGATATCCTCGGATCAATGTGTTGTGCCACGCTCTCAATCACACTCTCATCCGGGAGGTTGGACTGAAAGATCGAGGAGAAGTAATTCGCAATCACCTGCTCAATATTAGCTTTGCTCTCTTGCCATACCCCTAAATCGTCTTTGATCTTATAGACCCAATTTGTCCGTTTTCTAATTGTGGCCTTCGCGTGGAAAAACCCAGTATTGCGGTCTCCTTCCTTCATCCATTGGATCCGACTCCGTTGTTTCCAATAAGTATCAAGATCTTGGTACAAGTGTTCGAGTTCTGTCTGGAGAATACTCCTTTTGGCATTGCTCTCCACCGTTCGTGTTCCCGTGCTCAACTGGTGAATTTGTTTATGAATCTCCGAAATCCTTTTCCTAGGGTTAGGCAGACTTGTCTTACTCCAATGGATGAGAGCTGTTTTGCAGCTCTCCGACTTAGAGAGTTTTATATTTTAAAATTTAATTATGTGATGAGGATGATTTTGATGAGATACATTATTTATTATTGATAGTTTTTTGGATTGAAGTGAAGTTTTTCATATGTTGTTTAATGTTTTAAATTTTTATTTGGATGTATTTATGTGTATATAAAATTAAAAAATAAATAGAATAACTAAAAAAGTAAAAAACCCGGGTTGACCCCGGTTGAACAGGTCCAACCATGACCCGAATGCCTCACCGGTTTAATGTCCGGTCCGGTGCTGATAACATTGGGGAAAGGGAAGAATTCATAAGCCTAATGAGGAAAGAGGTAAAAAGAAAAACAAGATAAAAGAGGAAATAAAAGATTCATTATGTAGTTTCCAAAATAAGAGTATACAAGCTTATGTTAATTCAATTTGAGTTTTATGTTCATTTTTGTCAAATTTAACCAATAGATATTTATGGATTATCGAAATATATAAATTGACTAAAATATCTTTAACGCTAAACTTCAACCATGCTGAGGTCAACAATATGTTGAAGGGGATTGATGCCAAAATTCAGAATATTGAGTCGAAAACTGCTCAGTCGAAAATTGCTCAGCTTATACTAGACAGGTAAATCAATTATTACCTTAACAATTTGTTTTACCGATTTGATATAACATGGGGGTTTTAGTTGCAATAAACTTGTATTCTTAACAAAATAAACACCACATATGCAGGGTTCTAGATCTGAACAAACTTCAGATTACAACAATTTTTATATTGATAGGAGTGAGAACGAGGGTGTACCACCGATAAGACAGCAGGGACCTTATAGTGGGTATAATATTTTTTATTTTTTTGTTTTTTATTTAAAACAATAAATTGCAGAATTGCCAATTATTTATTAATTATTATTATTATTATTATTATTATTATTATTATTATTATTATTATTATTATTATTATTATTATTATTATTATTATTATTATTATTATTATTATTATTATTATTATTATTATTATTATTATTATTATTATTTTATTATTATTTTTTTAATTTTGTTTGGTAGATTGCGTGGTCCATGCGGTCATAGAAGCAATATAATTTCTTCTATTGATCAAAACGGGTGAATGCAGCCTTCTCTCAGTCCAAGAAATGTTGGACTGTAATAAGGCGAACTATTCGGCCCAGAAGGCCATACCGGGAGGTCCTTGCCTAGGGGAAGATTATAAGTACATACTACGAAAGGGGATATCGTACCAGAATGATTACCCATATACTGGGAAACTCTACTGTCGTTGTAGACGACCAAAGGTATTTTCCTTTTTCTTTTTTTGTTTCTTTACTGTTTCTTTTATACCAATTAGCTAAATTAAAAATGTATATATTTGTATATTTCAGGTGCATAAGCCTCATATGAGAATTAAATCGTATGAAGTAATGAAGAAGCTCACCAATACTAGTTGTGTAAGAGCTCGCTGTTCAGCTTATTAGTGTGGGGATCATAAATTGTGATGATCGAATGATTGATTATGGAGGGGTGAGTTTTGCTTTACTTCATTTCTTTCTTTAATTAATTAGTTATATCATCTAATAAATAACTATAAATGGCAGGAAATTCTGGATGGAAATTTTTCGACAGAGAGCCACTTCTGTAATCATGCAGGTGTATTGGTAGGTAGTGCTATAGATCCAGACGGAATACAGTATTGGAAGGTAAGATGCGCCTTTAGCGAAACCTTGGGTGACAAAGGGCATTTAAGGATCGCAGATAATAGACCGATTGGGTCAGACAAGGGTGCGTACCAAATAGTGCAAGCGGTGTTTCCAACGTTGTGGAGTGATGATATATAGTAATTTCGAGAAATCTTGAATATTATGACCTGACTTTTAATTCCATGGCTTTATATTTTTGATGCCGAGTTAAGTGACTTGTTTTCCGCTAAATTGGATGTTTTATGTTCCGGAACAGGCCCGTTGACGAACCGAACCGGCCCGTTGACCGGTGAACCGGTCCCGAAATCGTGAACCGGCCTGTGCCCCTCGGGCCGGGCCCGGTTCTTCAAATAGGTGAACCGTGAACCGCCGGGCTGGCCACGCGGTTCACCCGAAATTTAAAAAAAAAATTAAAAAAAAGCTGAAAATGCTTTAAAAATTTGAACCGGCCGTTATTTGCTCTTTTTTGAAACCCCCCCCCCCCCCTCCCCCGTCCCATTGTGTTCGATAAATACCCTCACACCCTATTTTTTCCTATAAAATAAAATTCAAGTCATTTTATTTATTTTCTTTTGTCTTTTTCATATATAAAAGTAATTTTTTTAATTTATATATCCATCAAGTATTTTCAAAAAATATATATATATATATATATATATATATATATATATATATATATATATATATATATATATATATATAAATATAAATTTTTGGGCCGACCCGGGACCGACCCGGATGGGCCCGGAACCGGAGTGAACCAGCAGGCCGACCCGGCCCGCCGAACCGGGTGTAGTACGGGCCGGTTCCGGTTCCGAAAAAAATGAACCGTGAACCGATCCGGAACCGGCCCGAACCGGCCCATGGCCGTGTCTACATATGTTGTATGCAAAGACATATGTTTACTTTTTTGTTGAAATTTGTTTCTTGGAAGATCATGAAAATCTTCCGGAAATTTTGGTAAGCCTTTTAGTTTATATTTTAATTTTATTTTGGGAAAGAAGTTTGAAAAAAAATAATGCTTGTATGTATTTTGAAAATAGACAATATACATTAAACGCGTCCAAAGGTGTTTGAAAATTGTATTTTGAAGGATGAAATGATATTTGTTTGTATTGTAAAGAGATATATTTACTAAATCATGTTTGAATTAGATCATGTTCTGGAGAAGTTTTTGAGGAATTTAACAAATATGATTTTATTTTGGAAATGTTTGAAAATATTTTATCTATACATAGAGCAAATACAAGATTACATGATTAACCAATAGGATTTGATTGAATATTTAAGGAAATGTTGCAAGTTTTGTGAGAAAAATTGATACATAACATGAAATATATTTGATATTTAAAGAAATATATTCGTGGGATGAACCACCACTAAAAGACATAAAACTTGAAAATATTACTCCCTCTGTTCCAAAATAACTGTCTCTTTTTAAAAATATTTTTGTTCCATGTTATCTGTCACTTTAGATTTCCAATACTGCATTAAATTTTTTTTTACTGTTTTAACCTTATTAATGCATCTCTAAACATTAATTCTCTCTTATAAATCATTAAATGATAAAGGTTGTTTTAGTCATTTTTATGTGATTTTCCTAAAATCAAGCTACATTAATTGAATTTCTTAATCTTTGTGAAAAATGAAAAACGACACTTATTTAGGAACAAAGGAGTATTCCTCTAGCAAGTAAAATCAGTTAATCACGTAATCAATCTTGTTTATCATACACTTGACCCACTAAAATTCCACCCAAAATAACTGTTGGAGACAGTAATTTAGTAGCCAAGACTGTAATATTAATTAAAATACTTTTTATGAAAAAACAAATTATAAAAAAAAAAAAAAAAAAAAAAACGTCAACGCCGGAGACCGGCGGTCTCCGGTGGTCAACGGCGGCTTACCGGCGGTCTCCGGTGTGCGGATCAAAATTGGGGTCAAAATTAAAATTATGGTTAAAATTGGTTAATTGATGAAATTGGGCTAAATTGTGGTGTAAATCATGAAATTGGAGTTGAATTGGGTTTCAATGAATTGGGGGTAATTTTGGTATATATAAAAGGATTTTCCTTATTTGCAAATAAGTTTGAATGAGCTGGATTTATTTGATAGACAACAAAGTTGGATGTCCCTCTTTTAATTAAGTGCCATTGTCATGGCCCATGAGCCTATTTGCCATTTGCCCTAAATATTAAAGGGATGGGCTTATTGGTGAAAGAGATACAACCCAGCCCCTAAACCTAGAATAATAAAGATGCATGGTTGGGGACTTATGCACAATTTTTTTTTTTAATTTCGATTTAAAAAATATTGCTTTTTCTGTTTTTTTTTTTTTATTTCGATTTAAAAAATATTGTTTAATGGTTTCTTTTCCAATAGGTTTACCAAAAAAAATAAAATCTACTACATACTCATCGAAATCCACTATAAATTTATTGAAAACTACTATAAAATCAACGTAGAAATCACTATTCAAAAACCACTATAAATTTATCGAAAACCACTATAAAATTACCGTAAAATTCACTGTGAAATTAACATAATCCACTTTAATATTAACATAATCCACAACATACTTTTCGAAATCCACTAAAAATATACGTAATCAACACAACTCAAAAAATAACAAACAATAAAAACGTAAATCCACTATTTTGTCTACGAAAAAGTGCGAGACCACCACCAACAAGGCCGACGACAAGTAAAGTTACTCTAACATCGACCAATCTAGCCACCTCCACGGCACCACTTCGTCTCTTGTTAAATAAAGAAATATAAGGCAAAAACTTGGCAGTAGAATTCATTCAAAAAAAATATCATTTCAATCAAAATTCATTAAAACCTTATGAAATCCACTACAAAAAACATCGAAAATCACCTACAAAATTTATCAAAATCCACTAGAAAAATCGCATAGTCTACTATAAATTAGCGTCATGCACTAGTAAATTCACAAAAAACTACTACAAAAATTCACTTAATTATCCACTACAAAATCCATTTTGGTTGGGCTGATCCGGGAATATTGATCTTCTTATCTGAGCGGATCTTTGAATTGGTTCATTACAGCTGGATTCGGATAGATCCT